GTCGCTGAGATGGCTAAAAATATTCATGTGTTTCAAGATGCTCCATATAGTAAGTTAGTTTTAATTTCTTTCTTTAAAAAAAATTTTTTACCCAACATATATATATTTGTAAAAAAAATTATCAAAATATATATAAATAATAAAAAAAATAAAATAATTGTTTGGAAAATTTTTAAAGATGTGCAATCTTTTGCTGGTCAAAAACTTATCCGCCGCGGTGATTTCCATGTTGGATCCCAAGTGAAAACAATGCTCACGTTACCTAAAAAAGAAGTTATACGTAAAGATCATGACTTTGATTTAGAATTTTCATCCAAGACTTCAGAAGAAATCGGTAGAAACAAACAACTTTGTTTATGTGGTAAATAAGAAAAAATTTGATAAAATAAGTAATAATAATTAAATAATAATAATATTTTTTTATTAAAAAATTCATGTTAGGAACACTTGACGGAAGTATTGGAATGATCACGCCGATAACAGAAAAAACTTATAAACGAATGCAACTTTTATATTCTCAAATGGTTAATGGAATACAACATCCAGCAGGCTTAAATCCAAAATCATTTAGGTATTCTTTTTTTGTTTTTGGTTTTTTTAATAGAAAATTTAAATTTAAAAATATTTTATTGTTAACTTTTGAATTAGATTACTACAATCAAAAATGCGATTAGCAATTAATCCATCAAAAAGATGGCGAGCTCATATTCCAATTTCCTAATCTTGCAAAGTGAGACGATGACAAACAAATGGCACGACGGTTGAAAGAATAATGAATGAGTTTTCTTGGAAATCAAAGAATACTTTAAAGTTTCTCCATTATTAACAAAATTCACATTTCCTAAATAGATTGATGGATTGCTAGATGCATCTTTTATGTATATTATATTCAAAACTCATTGTTTTAACAATCTGATAGTTTACCACCAAGTACGTTTCTACGTTTCTTATTTTTGGTAATTTCATAAAGTGTAACATTGAATATACAAACAAACACAAGGGTCATTCAGACAATTTCTTTGAACACTGTGGGTCCTGCCATATATCTATTTTTATACTATTGAACACTGCCATTTATGGGAAGGGTAAAAGTCTCGAAAATTCTAATACTTATAAATGGTGTAGCAGAATTAGAAATCATAAAAATTTTTCCTTATAAAACTTAAGGTTTAGTAGAAATAACTTTACGGAATGCAAGATAATGAGCATTCAAAGATAATTGTTTTCGCAAAAATTGTTTGTAGTCACAGTTTTGAATTTTATTATTTCGTTAATAATTGATATGATCGTAATGTTTTTTTATTTTTTTGGAGTAATAAACCTATTTTAGAAAATTTCGGAGTATCAAAGATTTTTTTACCGAAATCCGGGTGATTACACATCCTCAT